GGCAGTCAAGTTACCATAAAGGTCATGTATTTAGAGTTTTAGAGTAACTCACATGTATCCCAGAGTTTGCACAGGGTTGCTGAGTGTCGTCTTAGACGTGCAATCTGCCTGCTCTTCTGTCCTGACATATAAAGTGGATGTCATTGAACTGGCATCTAGAAAGTGTTGGTAGCACTACAGATTTTATCACTCAGTCCAAACAGAGGGATTGCAAAACACCTTTCTTTAAATATTTTTTCTTCATGGTGCAACTGGGGAGGGCCAAATTCCAGCCTTAAATAAAGTTTTAACCTGAGTCGTTGATGGAAATGGCAGAGGGATAGAATTTCCAGCGAAGAAACCAGTGACTGGACGGTGTCTAGGATTAGGCTGCGCATTTGTGACTCTTCCAGACGGGCTTCCCATTTCTACTCAGTGCATACATGCGCGCAGCCAGGAGGACATGGGGAGTTCTGCCTTTGGTTTCTTCTAGAGACAGTCCCCACTGGGACTCCTAGACTCCAATCGCTATTTTTTGTTGTTGATGATAATCTACTTAAATGATATCCTATCATCAGAATCTCTTTATGGAATTATCTTTGCATTTTGCACATTTCTTTCCTTCTGGCTTCTTAAAAAAAAAAAAAAAGCGTTGATTTTCAGAATTAATTTTTCTAATGGGGATGACATATAAAGATGCAGGAAAGAATCCATCGTTCTGTAGGAAACCTGGTTTTGATACACAGTCCACCCTACTGGCAGCTGCCTTTTAGGCGGCATCATATATACACAAGGCACAAAAAGAGACCTCTGCTGCCGTTTCTTCCGTTTATATATTTTGCATTGAAATTGTAGATTTTTTTGGTTGGAATTTATTTGAGATGATTAAAGACATTTTGCAGAGTACTCAAATATAGGTGAAAGAATTTCAAGTTTGCTCATTTTGGCATACTTTTAAAACAAAAGTGTTACTGTTGGATCTGGGAATGTGATGGGTGAATGAGTGTTTCAATGAAATGACATAAGTCTGTATAATTTGGAGGGTAATGATGCCTTAGAACAAGAATAAATCTGGAGCGATGGAAAGGCTCCATATTCTAGATGAATGTGTGCTTCCTCTTCTGAGTCTGAAAAATAAAATTAAATCTTTATTTATACCAATCCATTGGGGTTGGGGGTGGGGGGAAGCTACATGGACTGGATTTATGATAAATTTCAGGACAGGAATATTAGCTTTAACCTCTTTCCTCACATTGCATATGATATTTAATCCATCATCTTTGTTTTAAACAAACAATATGCAAGCTGTTGCTGGCATTGGTATAAAGCTGATGGTCCATCTGGAGAGCAGGAATATAGATCAGGAAAATAAGAGAATTGAAACTGGGTGCAAGGGCAGATTTGCATGTGTAAAGCCTTCCTGTTTTACCAGCTTTTTATCAAATTATTTAATATTAGGCAAAGCATTCCTCTTTCTTGAATCTGAGCGCCTTACTGGAGGAAGAGAGGCTTCAAAGCTGAAGGAAGAACAATTGAGTTCTGAGAGACAATAAAATAACAGCCACTGCTGGCCACGACTGGGCAGAGTGGAGGGAGCACTGCGGGGCTTTAGTTCCTGTTCCAGCCCTGGGAGCTTTAGGCAGTCATTTTAGCTTCTTGACCTTCAGTGTCTTTTGAGTCTAGTTATTTCAGCAACCATCTATTGAGGCAACTGTGAGAATTTTCTCTGAGCCAACCATTACGCTAGGCACTGTGGATCCGAAGATGATTAAGACTAGGTCCTACTCTCAAGAGGCGGAAGGTCTTGTAGTGGAGAGAGACTTCGTAGCTGCGCAGTGCAGCGAGTGTTTGTATGAGTATCGGTCTCATAAAGGAAGGAGAGATTAATTCTGTCTGGAGTAGACAGGAAGGTTTGTATTACAGGACCTTCGTACGGATTTGCTATTTTGACCAGCTGAGGAGCAGGCATTCCAGGTATCTGGATAGTGAGAGATTCATAACAAATTATCAACAAAGTTCTTTCCAGTTCGGCGTTCGTAGTGTTATCAATGTAAAATTCTTTGAATAGCTTTCCACTGATGAGTTATTCTCTGAAGAGTGTTTATTGTCATGGTTCAGAGAAAATAATAATGAAAGAAACAATGATTTCCTTGAGTTATAAAATTGGGGCTGGAGGGGAAGAGGCAGCTGGGTTTTTTTCCTCTTAATTATGGCCCTATTTGAAAATTCAACCTGCTCATAGGGTGGCAGACACTTTGTGGAGAGGCCTGCCTTCTTCCTTCCAGGGAGCGGCAGTGGATGGAACCACTGCAGCCTGGCCCCCCTCCACGCGTGGAGGGGATCCAGGTGGTCATGTCCAAGTGTGTCTGTGTGCAGCAAGGCTTCCGAAATGACAGCAGAGCCCGGCAGCTTCCCAAGCAGCAGTGACTCTGGACTGCGCCCACCAACTCTGCTTCTCACTCAGAGGGTTAAGTCTCTGATGCCTTGGGAGGTGTGGAGCCTGGGACTTTTCTTCCTTTTTTTAATTTGTCATTTTATTTTTTAAATTTTTGAGTGGCGGGTGATGATTTCTTGACAAAGGAGAGACTCTCTCTTTTAAAAATATTCTAAGTCAAGATCTTGTATAAACTCACGGGTTAGGAACAAAATGGGAATCCACCTTTTTTGTTGTTGTTTATGAACAGCCAATAATTTATTCACATGTGACATTTGAGCTGGCGTTTTTCCCCCTGAGATGACAGTCGCTTCCGCCGTTGTTGTCCTAAAGCAAAGTCAGAATAGCCCTTTGCTTTGTCCCAGTTGGTAGTTATATTTCACCCTCTTTCTTGCCTTTTTCATTTAGACCTTATGGTATTTCCTAATCCTCAGATTGTTTTGAAAGTCTTTGATTAAAAGATGCTGATAAAAGAATTCGATAACCAAGTTAGGAATGACAAGGCTATCTGGAGAAGACCGAATGATTTGGCAGCCTAACAAATTCTATTCAGAGCACACAAAGAGATCCTGGAATGTTTTATAGGGACTCGTGTTTGGGGAATGGTATGAACTCAGGTTACCTGCAGACTATGGTGTCATATGGAAACATTTAAGAGCTTATGGAAAATTCTTTGAAATAAAGTGGAATGAGCTAGCAAGCATATAATACCCAAGAAGAAAAATAAGAGCATTCATTCTGATTTCAGGTGGCTGCTCAAGGAAGGGAGATGGATGAAAGTAAATCTTTTTCAACTTCATACACATAATGCAGAAGATATATCACCTAAGCATAGTTTTGCTAACCAAACCCTAGACTTAAAAGGATATTAGAGGCCATCATGTCTAACCACCTTCCTCTGTAGGAACCTCCTGTGTGATACCCCCAACGGCCTCTGCTTAAATACTTCCAGAGAAAAGTGAGAGGGGCGGGCGAGGGGCTGAGGGCTGGCAGAGGCTGACGTTGAATGCCTCACAGCTGCGGACACTGGAGGAGGCACTTTCTCCTCGTCTGACTTGTGTGTGGGTTTTATGATCTCCAGTTTACAGATGAGGAAACCAAGTTAGATAAGTAAGCAAAAGGAAACCTGCCTCGGCTCATGTGTCTAGCTGAAGGCAAAACAGAAATGAGAACCTGATCCATCTTCTTGCCCCACACGAAATTGCCTCCCAGGTGGAAGGAGAGTGCCCTTCCTCGGAAGGCAGCCTCTTCTGTCTTAATACACATTGTTTGAAAATGCTTTTTAAAAATTTGTTTAGCTGAAATCTGCCTCTCATTAATGTCTCTCCTTGGTCTAATGGAATTCTCTCTTTCCTCATGCAGGTATGTTAACAGGCACTGCTTCCCATATGGTCTTTGCCATCTTGTGCTTAGTACACACACACACACACACACACACACTCTCTCTCTGTCTCTCTCTCTCTCTCTCTCTCTCTCTCTGTCTCTCTCTCTCTCTTTCTCTCTCTCACCCTCCCTCCCTCTCTCTCTTACATGTCCTCTTGTTACCTTTCAACATTGGGAGCTTTTTGAATCCTAGAGGTCTAGACTCGAAGTGTTAGAAGTTACCTTAGTTTCTTTCATCCCACCCTGCCTGATTCCTCAACCCATTCAAACCATTAATAAAAATACCGAACAGAACAAACAGGTTAGGTTAACTTGTGATCTGTGTATTAGTTCCTGAAATTGCTTTCAGAATTTAGACTACCTGTGAATTTTTCTGGGAAGAGAGTTGATAACAACTTTCTTTTCTTTCTTTTTTTTTTTTTGTTCAGATAGAGTGGGAGGGAGAGGGAGGGAGAGAGAGAAACATCGACGTGAAAGGGACACATCGAGTGCCTGCCACCCGCACAACCCAACCAGGGCCGGGGACAAACTGCAACCGAGGTACATGCCCTTAGCGGGAACTGAACCCGGGTCTCTCGGGACTACAGGCCGACGCTAAAACCACTGAGCAAAACCGGCCAGGGCGAGAGTTGGTAACAATTTTCAAATTTTTAAAGAAACTCATTATCTTAAACATGTTATGAACTACTCAAAGTAGAGAATGTCCTCTAGGTTGAATTAACTAACCTGTTCAAGGAGGGCTTCCCAAGTGACCATAAATTCATGCAATCATCACCTAGAGCAGCAGTTCTCAATCTGTGGGTCGGGCCCCCTTTGGGGGTCGAATGACCCTTTCACAGAGGTGGCCTAAGACCATCAGAAAACACATATTTGCAATGGCGATTCACAACAGTAGCAAAGTTACAGTTATGAAGTAGCAATGAAAATAATTTTATGGTTGGTGGGTCGCCACAACACGAGGAACAGTATTAGAGGGGTTGCAGCATTAGGAAGGTTGAGAACCACTGATCTAGAGTCTAGATTCTAGACCATGTTATTTTGTCCAGAAGACATGTAAATGGTCTTGTAAGATACCTGACTAAAATGAAGGTTTGTGGTATTTTCTGCATTCTCTTGATTCTTCTGGACATTGAGAAAGAATAATTATGTCCTTAAAAGTAAAAAAGAGAATACCATATTCTTGTTTTATTTTTATTTTATTACTGGATGTTTCCTGCATGGTTTGCCACCTCAGTCATTGTCCACAGGACTCTGAGAAGCTGTAGAAATATGCAGGCTCAGATTCAGGGCCCAGCTTTCTCTGCAACGCTGTGAAAAGGACTGTGCATCACAGGCAGAGCCTTATGCTTCGCTGGGCCACGTAGACAGAGCCCGGGTGGAGTGACCTTTCCGGGGTATCCGGGTTGGAGAGACTGCAATATTCTTAAGCAAGAAATGGGCCTTTAAAAAAAAAGTCTTTGTCCAGCTGGTTTGGCTCGGTGGATTGAGCGTCGTTTCATAGACTGAGAGGTCCTGATTCGATTCCCAGTCAGGGCACGTGCCCGGGTTGCAGGCTCGATCCCCAGTAGGGGGCGTGCCGGAGACCCTGATTGATGCTTCTCTCTCTCTCCCTTCCTCTCTCTTTCTCTCTCTCTCTCTAAAAAAGAAAGTGTCCTTTAAAAAAGTAAAAAATATAAATGTTAAAGAGTGCATTTCTATTTCATTTTTCTTTGTTTTAAATTATAAGCTGAGTACTGTCTACTATAACTTTACCCTTTACCCTATGGGAACCTTTGAAAACAGGTGGGGTATATATATGAATATCCTGTATATGCCTACTTATCCATTGTAGGCTAGGTGTTTGTTGGCTTCCTGTATAGACTGGGAGCTCCTCAAGGGCAGGGGCCTTTGCCAGTCCTTGACTACCTAGCACTAAGCCCAGTGTCTGGCAAATACTAGACTCTTAAGGTTTATGAATTGAATGGAATGATTTAGATGAAACTGCCTGTTATTTGGTATTCTAGTAGCAGGTTGTTTATTTAAGTCCACCTTATATCATGTTCTTATATTTTGGGTGAATGGTGTAAAAATGCAATTGTACAGCGCACCTAATTAATTTAATAAATAATGAAGAGGAAGAGTAATGGACCACATTGAGATGTGATCTACCGGGAAGTGAAGAACCCAGTCAAGAATTATGAGCTTTATTATATGTGAAGTAAAAATATGTAACCTAAGTAAAAATGTTGATATACCCAACCTCCTCATATGTTGTTGTTTAAAATGGGTATTGGCCTGCATGAAATGGAAATGAGTGATTTTGCATACATAAAAAGAGAATTTTAGATATTGAGACCTTAGGGAGGTCAACTGATATAAATCCTATACTTTTCAGACAAGGAAATTCAGGTTCTGATAGTGAAGTGATTCACCTAGGGTCACATACTCAGAGTAGTAGTACTCTCCAACAAATGGTGGTGCCTGCCTCATGCTTTTCTTTCAGAAATTTTTTAAATGTTAAAAGTGTAAGATTAAGTAAAGGGCATTTCTAGACCATATAGAAGTAGCCAAGTTGCCCCATTATTTTATTATGTAAATATATATATTTATATACTACACACACACACACATTATATATACATATATACATATATATACACACATATACATACACACACACACACACACACACACACACACATATACCCACCCTCATTGTCTCACAGAGTAAGAATGTAAGTCCATGCAGCTTGGTTTTAAAGGGCAGTTTCTATACAAGTGAAATATACACACAGAAAGACAACTATCATCCTTTATCATCGGACATTGCTAGTTCTTTGTGGTATTTCACATTAGGGACATTTTCCGTGGGGAGTATAGAAATAATGAATATGTTAAAAAACATCTCATAAAGTTAGGACTGTTGAGAGACATTTAGAATACATCCATATCTTCCTACCAACTGTCTCTTGGGGGCCCGGCTAGAGTTAGTATCCTGGCCTGATTGACAAGGGAATTGACTCGGTGTAGTGGTTCTTATATTGTTATGATGAACCTTACTTGACTTTTTTCTTCAAAAAACCGAAGTCACTGTCTTTGCTTCCAAGCATGATAGTCCTGTCTCCTCAGCCTAGACTCTAAGCTTTTCATGCTCCCAGAGTGACTTATTCAGTAATTACTTCCACTTTGTATTAAAACACTTTTGGTTGCTGAGGGAGGAAGAAGAGGAAAGACCAACCCATTTCCAGTTTGTTTGGGCTACACTGATTTTATCTTTTAAATTGCTAGTGAAATGAGAAAGATGCCTGGTTTTTAAAGCATCAGAAATGCCAAATGTATGATGAAGACGACAGATGTTATCGTATCCTTAGAGCACTGGACAAAAAAGACATCCCATTGCCCTGGGACTCTCAGATCTTCTGGAACCTTTTTTAAAACAAAATGGGCAAAGTTGCTACTCATACCCAAGGGAAGAGAAAGTTAATGAATAGAAAAGGCAGAATTTACTTAGGAAAATAGTGGAATTAAGCTCTGGACAAAGCATGCATCAGTGATGCATAACATTTTTGTTAATTGGGTCTTAACAGGTTTCTGACTCATGTGGTAATCATTGTAGAAGTGGGTCATACTAGACCATGCCAGCGGCATATCCCGCAGCTATAAGAACTCTTACCTACTTGTGCATGTACACCTGAGTGTCTGGAGGCGTACGTTTCTATAGCTTAATTTAGGTTCCACATACACTTCAGTGGTTAAACCTGAGCTAGACGCAAAGAGTTTGTTTCCATTAAGAAAATGAATCTTTTATGTGGACCAAGGTCAGGTTAGTTAATTTGTTTGCTTTTATTGGAATAACTTTTCCCATTCCAATTCATCACTTAATTTTAAGTGGTTCTACTAAAATACCCATTAAAGTCCCTTACATTTCTAACAGACCAGGGCTATGACAGGTTCGTGTGACTTTTTTTTTTTTTCTCCAAGGCACAAAGGTAGCTTTTCCGGTCATCAACCTATTCTTCCTTGTCTGTAATTTCCCAACAATGAGGGAACATTTTATATAATAGCAGTGTGAACTTTAATCGAAAAGAGACCAAATAAAGTTTTCACAAGAAACAAGATTTATTAAAATATAAAAATGCACCCGACTGTGATAAACATTTCTTGTTTTAAAATAATATAACTTTTTCCTTAAATTCTTCTTTTTTTGCCCAGTACATTTACCCTCTTTCCCATTGATGTATTGTCCAGCAGCTCAAAGTTGACTTTTGATAGTAAAGGAAATGTGATGTTATTGCTCTAATTAGTGGTGACAAAAGATCAATTAATGGTATAATTTAAAAAAGTGTCTAGACCTGTTGTTTGTGGTGAACAAATGAGACAATTAATTTGTGTCTTGACATAGATGTGTTGAATTCCCTTCCTAGATTTTAAGGGGGTGCGTTTTAGTGCTGACATGCACATTTAATTGTGGACAGTAGGAACCAGGCAAGCATATTAGGGAGAGAATAGGGCCCCTAATGTCTCAGCTAGAGCCATATTTTAACATACTTGACACCTTTCTTTGGAGTTGGTGCTATATCAGCAACTTGTACTCACTGGGTCTGGAGCCTTACCCTTTTAATATTTTATCACTAAATGCTTAAGTGTTTATGTTGCAAAAAGAAAAGGAAGATAGGATTCCCAGTTGGACTCTCAGACCACGTGAACATGACAATATATGATGACCATGTCATTGATGATTTGGGTTCCATGTGTAGCAGTAATTTTTGAGTTGATGGGGCAGAATAGTGAGTAGTGATTTTTGCAAATCTGGTTGGATTTTCTTCTGATACAGAGCAAGCTGTTTTTCCTACATTGAAGCCTGGGAAAGCTATGTGACTGTAAAAAGAGTAACCGTATCTCTTTTCTGAGTTGTTGCCAAGCAGATGTAGACTTTTGGAACATGCCCAGAAAACTTCTACAGCTGATACTTTGGTGACTTGTTCCTACTTCTGGCTTTATTGGCACCTATTAAAATAGCAGAGGAACATGATTTTGTGTTGGTAGGTCACAATTTTACACACTTCTATAGAAGCAATTAAATATAGGTAAACCAGTTGATTGAAATGAAGTAAACCCAGTTTTCTTTTTGAGACTAGCAGTGGAGATGTGACAGTCCTTTTGGTTATGTCGCTCTTGGACAAAAAAAGAATCAAGAGAATTCATCTAAAAAGTTATCTGAGAGTTTAGCACTGAATATCAAACAAAACAGTCCACTGTGATGACTATATTAATCTCGGTTTTTAACTTCACCCCATTCATGGATCATGCTCTGTGGATGTACCTGAGCAGCACTTGGTTTGACTTTAAATTCTTAGATTACTGGCTTCCACCGTCATGTTTTGTATTCTTTCCGCGGTATTAATGTTGCAAAGGCTGTTCAAAACGGGGAATGAGTAACAATGTCAGGTTCACAAATTTCTCAGAAAATGAGCATTTTCTGTAACATCAGGCTAGAACAACAAAGGTTAATGCCATCCTCTCAGGTCATGTGGTCGCAGTTGAAATCCTATAAGCCTCCGAGGTAGTGTGCTTTTGGCATGGATGGTACAAGAGGGAATGTAGTTGAATTCATGGACAAACTCTGTTGCTGGCTAAAAACAGTTAAACAAGGAGAAAAGAGAGGACTAAAGCAACAAAGTCTGCTTCTTTTTTAGGAGGAGTTGGAAGATGAGGAGTAATGCAACACTTGAGATATATATGTTAGAAACGTAGAACAAATCATAGATCAAACCGAAGGACTGCTGAAGTTTAGAACATGGCCGAGGGTATAGATGTCAGATTTTCTTACACAATAGAGGCTCTTTTGTTTCAGAGTTCACTCTTGGCAAGAAACTCTCTACCACTGCGTTAATTTCCTGTCGATCTTTCATTCAGCAACAGAACTAGAGATGGGGAGCAGACATTCCCCCCCAGCCCGGGCTTTTTCAGACTGTGCTTTGTGTAAATTAAAAAGAGGAAAGTAAAGAGAACAAACTTTGTCCAAATAAGATGTCCGTGTGTATTCTTTGAGATCCCGTGTGTGTGCTTAAAATGATCCTTAAAAAAAAACTCTCTTCGTAATTTTGAACCTCTTCTTTCTCCAAATACTTTTATAGCCATTTTACCCCCTTCTCAGCATGGAAACAAATGTGTAGCTCTAATAGATGTTACTTTGCTATTTACGTAGATTGTTTTAAAAGGCGAGCTGTGCTGTGGGGGAATGAGGAAGGAAGGGAGGCGGGAGTGGCTGGGTTTATTTGTTCTGTGTTGACCTAATGAGAGCAGTTCTTAAAAAATAATAAATATTTATATGTGATCTTAATTTTTAATGAGTCTCATAAACTGGTTGGTATACAAAAGTGTATGAAAAGCCATATATATTAAACTATACATATTTTAAATACACA